ATGGCTATTACACACTTATGTTTCACTCTCATTCGATGTGTGGGAATTAACGACTTCGACCGTGCGCGGCGGTTATTTTGACCAGACCATCGTGAACCAGACGGAATTATCCTTAGCAACTTGACAATCCTCAGTTGATTCTTCTCGTTTGAAAGACTTCGTTTTCACAAGATTAACTGACGATCACATTGAAACTCTTTAAAAGCGTTCTAGAAGGCTTAAACCGAATAGAACACCACAGATTCATGAAAAGATACATTAATATGACATTTGGCCTCAAAGTGGTTCTAAAGATAATAAACTATTTCCATTTATTTTCAATCGATCTCTTGGTCGTTTTCCCACCAAATTTCTCAATTTCAGAAGTTTTCCGAGAATAATGAGACACTGCGTACGACAGGCTAGACTCTCAAATACATATTATAGTAAGTTTTATCTGACTAGATTTTTTGTTCGACTTCCATGAATTATTTCTGACACTTCTGTGCAGCCCGATCTTACGTGTTTCACATGCACAAAATCGATCCCACCACGTACCGTGCACGCACTGCAGTCTGTTACACGCTTTCCGATGTACTGTACATGTACATACAGTACATGTACTGTACAGGTACATGGAAATTATGCGTCGGAGCCGTTGTACTTGTTCATGTGGTTCATGCGTGTATAGTACATGTAAAACTGGGGATATACCGTGAATTTCAACATTTTCTGACAATGTTATCCCAATAATAAACTTCAACTTTCATCTTTCATCTAGGCCTACCTAATGCAACTTAGCTATGCTTCTGAGAAAGAGACCTGACCACAGACTTAGTCGCAGAATATGTGACACAGCATACTGCTGGTTCAGCTCGTATTCTGAATTTGGTTGTGAAGTTTAATCAATAGGCCCTTTTTCTACAATATTTCTTCACGTTCGTGCATGATTAGATTTAAACTGTTCCGTAAACTTCAGCACACAAACGGTGCAGCAAGTTTACATTTCCTGTCTCAAATTTGCCTTTAGTGAACCGATTTGGCTTCTGTACTTATGTTCATCCTGTCGCTTTCTAGACCTATCAACTTTCATCTAGGCCTACCTAATGCGAGAGGCTAATTTCGAAGGCGTGCAAATGTGTGCAACAGCTCACATGATCATAAGATGCTATATTTTCTAGTACTGTTTTTTATAAAACGACATATCACCATTTGGATTTGTGTGGTAGCAGAAATACCGCGCTATGGGCGGACACATGATCGTCCCAAAGTTGGTTAAACTTGAGCTGTACATTCATTGGTTTTATCAAGCGTAGGCTGGTTCCCGCTCACCACAGGCACCCAGCCGGGAGCCGTATAGTTCATGGCTTTTGAGTTCAATTCTATAACAGCAAAGGCACAAACAGCCCCAAATAAGCCAAACAGTCTTCAAAATGAGCCATTCTTACTGTTGTCCCGTGTTCTACTCCAAGGCTGTCAAGGGAATTGGCGGGGCTAACGGCGATAAGCCGTTACACAAATACGTAGGTGTAAAACGCTTGGGTTAAAGAGAAAAATCAGGTCGGCTGCCACACGCTGCGATGATCATGCTGAACAGGGCTCTTTTACGCATCAACGAGGCCTCACCTCAGTATAACAAAATTTGTCGTTGAGGGTCGCAAAAAATGTATCGCATTCGTCCTGAATGCGAGAAATGGGGTATCTGATGTGAAATCATTGGCAGCCTGTGTTTTTCTGTTCAGTTTCGGGCTTTCTATCACACACTAACCAGTTGAACAGAAGGTCTTCATTCACATGTAAGTTTCTCTACAGCTGTGCAAAGATGGCCGAACACCGTGTGTGCAAGCATCATTGCACACATACAAATTTGCCATGGGGAAAAATGATAAGTCTGTTACATCTTAGCGGTTCACACATCCTTTATGGAAAGGCGCCTTAAACTGACTTGTATGACTCGTAACTCGGACTCGAGTCACATTTTTAGTGAATCGGACTCGAGTCACTTTGACAAATGACTCGGACTTAAGGGTGCGGACTCGGACTCGACCTGTATGACTTGTTACTCAGCATATATTACATCGTTATGTTTTTTCACTGAGCAAACACCGCCTGAACCACGTGCTGTTCGAAGGATATCAGTTGCAGCTGGTCTGACGTCAGTACGGTCTGGGCTTATGTGAAGACACGAAAATCAGTCATAGCATCCCATTCCAAAAAAAGTCAATTTTGGGTTTATCAGTTTTAAGAGAAATAGAAACACAAGGTTCTGCAGGAGAAAAATGAAGGTAAAAAATTTTCATTGCTGCAAATACAACTTGCCTGAAAACTTAAAAATGTTTTTCCAACACAATGATAAAGGTGACTTTTACTCGAATCGAATGACTCAGACTCCAGAGAAGTGACTCGGACTTGGACTCGATATTTCGTGACTCGAATACAAGTCTGGTCTTAAACACATCCGCCGGAAGGTGTCTTTCCATATGTGCGTCAACACTTACGCCAAACATTGCCCACCGTCAAAATCGCTCCGCACGCAACGCACACGTGCGTTAAATAGATGGAGTCGATTTTTGTTCCCGTGAAAGTGAAACGCATGAACGCATAGTGTACGCAACGTATCCAAAAGACATACATATGAAAAGGCGCCTTAATATAGTACACGTATAGAGGAAAGATTGCACTTCACGTTTTTTGCATTGGTGCGTTGCCATGTTAGAGGAACCATTACCAAGCATCAGCCTTCAAGCGGTCTGTTGGTGTCTTTAAAATTATTTAACTCAGCTAAGAAGAGCCACTTGTACTAATGTAAAGGCAAAGGTCTTCAATAGATGTTCTCGTAGTGAATCTGTCTATCAAATTCCCAATGAAAATATGTGTCTTATCCAGCGGAGAGAGGGACATTGTTTCCCGTTGGGATATGTTGCCGGTTACTGAGAGTGCAAACAAGTACAGGGTCCATGCAATGATTTTTTTCTTTTAGGTACACATGTGCAACTTCAGTGTATCATAACTCTTTTGGGTTTCAGCGTACTAAAGAGAGCGCTTCGTACGACATTTAAATTTGTCTGTTCTTTTCCAGACCACTGAGGGTATGGATGACTGTGGATAGGGAAGACACTGTTCAGTTCAGTTCAGTTTCGAAATGTGAACTCTCCCAAAAAAATCAGTGCTACATTGAAGTTTTGCCAATGAATATAGAAATTATAGTAAAAGCGTAAAAGCCATGAAGGCACCAAAGTATAAAGAATGAAAATCTTAACAAAATTGAAAATAAGGTTAGCTGAAACACAAAGGTGTATTTTCAAGGATTTTATAAAAACAATGATTGCATTTCATCGACCCCTCAAGAAACAACATTATATAGGCCCTTCTTTTGGCTGGGAGGAGAGGGGATTCCTTCACAGATGAAAACAGTGGATTAAGATTGCTTCAGAAAAAACAAATCCCAACTTTTGCTACGCCACTTATAAACTTCTGAGAATTTCTCCATTATGTGCCGTATAGTACACTGATCGTTCTCAACTTTTCAAATGTTATCAGACTGTAGATTATACTCATCTGAATCATCGCCTAATCACTCAAAACATGCGTGGATTTTGTTCCTATCCGTTCTCCGATTTTATGTGAAGTATAAGTATAACCCACTCCTACGAGGATTGACTGGGTCCAGGTGCTTCCTTGCTACGTTGAGCAGTGTATTGTGTCGCCGTTTTAACGAGTAGGCCTAATTGACCTCAAAAAGTGGAAATCGTGACACACAATGAGATACTGATCCCTTTTTCTTCAACCGTTCGCTTTTTCGGACACAAATATTAAGGTGACAATGGCGAACCTTTTTAAAAAGGAAAGGTGTGCCTCAAGCATACATGCGCCACTGTTTGTGCGTGTTGGGCCACGGCTTCACACTCAGTATGTTTACCGAGCCGTCTGTGAACCAGACTAAAATGAGCCTGCGGCTGGGAAACAACAACAAAAAAAAAAAAAAACTGGGAAAAAATCGGGTTTAAAAATGAGGGATGGTATAAAATATGCAACCCCCAGCGGACTATCCAGCTTTTGGTGGAGGGGGGGTTCCAAAGTGAATGCTGCCTTGGGCCCATTAATATGATGTTGGGGAAGAGAAAAATATCAAAACCCTTTACGGTCTCAACATCCTTGCTTTTATTTCGTGGTGTTGTTTTGTAAGGGTTGCGGTGCTAATATTTGACGTATACCGATTAATTTCTTTCCTACCCACCTTTGAAGTATTTTTTGCAACAAAAAATCCGTCAGAGGAGGCAAGTAGCCCCTGCCCCCCCTCCGGCTGGATACGCCACTGATCATTCCCTGTTACTGCACAGTATAGTGACAATCTGTCATCGATCATAAAATTCAATACTGTATATCTTGTAATTGAAAGCAACCTATCAACTAATGAATTTGTCCGTAGGGCTTTGAAAAAGGACCGAAATTCACTAATTCAGAATAAATCTCAACTTAAAGCAATGTGTGCCATTAGCTATGTTCACTCCAAAGGCTGGAAAATATAATGGAATCAAGAAAATCTTTCTAGTATTAAAACGGTTACCACTGCGTGAGTTATTTTTCATCCTTGGACGTTTTGCTCCTGACCTATTGAACCAATGAAACTTTTCCGTGGATCGGCCTTGACTGGAGTAAAAACTAGCCGGGTAAACGGGCCTGTGGAGTGCCCTTAGGAGAGTTTATCGAAAAATACGGAAAACAAAAGAAAAAATTTATCAAATAATATGGCAGACAAAAGACACCTCTTGATTCAGTCAACCTGCGCTTTAAAAAAAATCAAGAAAGCCATTGAACCGATTCCTTACCCGGTTAAAAAATCTACAGAATTAAAAACATAATTTACATAAGAAGGTCCCGCGGTTCAGCGCTGGCCAAACAAAAGAACCCTGGCGCACCTTGCTTACAAATTTCTATTGACGGACCCCTCGCGGCTGTACTTTGAAGCAGAGTGATTGGTGTGGTCGTCGGTGCGTGAAAAGTTGGCTGCACCCCCTGTCAGACTGGACTTCGGCGTGATGTTTGCCTGGGCGCAGCTCACCACTCTGCCCCAGTTGCTGGCTCAGTCTGTATCACATAGGAGGAGCTTCTGCGAAGCGGACAGACTCCAGCCACTGACTTCATCACTCCAACATCCCTTGGCTGATCTTGTTCCATCAAGAGGTGGGAAAAGGACCAGCCATGGAGCGACTGGCGATGCTGATATGTGTGACAGCGCTCATCACCGCGGTGAGAGCACAGAATCCGGACACGACTGGTGGTAAGTGCTCAATTTCTTGTCTCAATTTAGCATTTTGTTTCGTTTCATTTAGTCTGTTTGTTGTTGATAGTTTTGTTATTTGTTCAACTTAGAAATTGAATTCAACAGGTATTATCTGGTATTGTTCAAACTGACCTAGCCGAGTTTTTACGGGTTTAGATTATCTTATAACTACATGTATATAGAGCTTATTCTGTAGGGGATAGTCTCAGCAAATACGAGTATGAAGCTGCGATTTTACAACTGTTTCTGAAGTGGAGCAGATGATTTTTTTTCAACGAATTAAAAGGAAACACAACCTAAAGACGCTTTCCAGACTTTAATTTCCTTTACTCGGAACGACAGGGATTAAAGCACAAATTAGGTGACTCTTGCACAATCACGTAACCAAAAAATCCTTTCAGCGGGGAATGTTTGTAAGTTATGCGTCTGCGTCTTCTGCCAATTTAGCTTTTCTTTCCAGAGTGTTCCCGCCTTCAGCGGCAGTTGGCGCATCTTTTTTTCTTTACTTCATTATTTGATACTGTGAAGTTCAGGGGTGTTTGGGAACAAACTTGGAAAGTAAGCTTGTAACTCAATGTTTTGAATATGCATGACTCAGAAGTTGCGGGACTGTGATTGGCCATCGAGTCTTGATCGGGGCACAGGCACAGTAAAGTCAGCGCCGTTTCCCACGCCACCGTTGGGGACCATAAGCCCCGGGGCCCCGCCTAGTTTCTATGGGGACAGGTGAAGGCTTGAGCAATGTCTTGACGTCACTCAGTGGGATTTAATGATTGACTGCTTGATCACTATCGTGGCCCAATTACGCAAAACATGTCAAATTTATATGGCCTGTGCCAAAACAGCCGCACAAAGCGCTGAAATTGTACAAAAGTAGTTCAATGGATCCACTAAAATTAATCTCCCGTAGGCCCTACGTGGAATGGTTTTGAAGAATGAAAGGCTGTCAATGGTCAGTAGTGCTGTATGGTGCAGTGAAAATCGGGCTTCAGATTGTTACCGGTATCTCTGTTCCATTCATTTTTAAATCTACATTTCTTTATAGTCTGTAGCATTATATTTAAAATCATCCATTCAAATAACACTCTAATTCATTATAAGAAACGATGAGCTCGACATGTATGGACGTTATATATAGATCCCCCATGTTTATCACCTTTGAGAAATAACATATTCAAGGTTATTTTAATTTTTTTTTCATTCAAATTTGCAGACTCGTACATTCACATTCATCTTGCAGAGGCAAGTTCGTACACTGACTTGCAAGGTGTAATGTCGTCATTTGTCCAATAGTTTAATTTGTTTTCCAATGGAATTCGAACTGTGAGTGGGGATCGTTCGATTTCGTCTTGGCTAAATAGCAGGAATTTTATTTACAATCGGACCCGCCTCGATCGTCACGCGTATTTTTGATCAACTTTGTTTTTACGAGATTTCAAAATCATTTTCAAGAGCGGAGAGAAATTTTCAAGTTAGATTTTTATATTTCATAAAAGGAGTAATATTACTGAAAAAGAGGATCCATAATTTATAATAGGTTACTCTTTTGGGGGTTTTCCCTTGTATGGCACCTTAGAAGAGGAAGTTTCACTCTTTTGGGTTGGTTTTCACTTTTAGGTTTTATAGAGTGGTTTTTAATGCAAAACTGTCGCTGTGACAACTATTATATACGGATTTAAAATTAAGACTCACACTAGGCCCAACTTGAACTGGGATTTCGGGGCTTTTGTGCAAATAACTTGAAGTTAAAAATTGAGTCTGGCACCCGCCTTAGTGGCAGATCTAGGATTGGGGTACGAACTTGGTTGAAGGGACGGGTATATTTCTTGCCGTTTCTATAAACTCACTGAATTTTGTCGTTTTGTCTATAACCGAACACGCAAGGAAGACCCCTCGAGGTTTGTGTTTTTAGGGGGCGTGTAACCTTGAGACGTATGCTGTGTACAAATGGTTGGCAGATTCAAGTCGGGATTGGGAAGTGAACTCATAGTAGTAAGTGGATACAAGAGGGCGCGAAGCAAGCAACGGCGCGCGGTCTCGATATGTATCTGAGTCCGTTTTCCAATACTCAACTTCGGTTCCGTTCAGGCTTCAACTGTTTTTTATTACCTGACTTCGAAGCTGAAAGCGCACTAATTAGTCTAATAATAGTGCCACAAAACATCAAATAAGATGCAAGAAAGCAAAACCTTACTGTAATCCAATTTGATTTAAACGCTTCAGGCCCACAATCGGGGATTGGTTTCGGGGACACATCTGAGAGGGAGACGAAGTTGAGTATTGGAAAACGGCCCTAGGATGAACGAGAAGACGTCGCAGTCAAGATCCCGATTTCAGTCAGGCCTACGCGCGTACCAGTATATATCTTGCATGGACGCGCACTGTGCGCATCGAACTGAAGCGGCGCACACTTGGCTTGTCTAGCCAATACGTTATGTAATGTATGACGATCAACCTGGCCAACAGTCACTTGCCTGTGTTGATCTGATATGTCCGTGCGGTTGTACCATGGAGGAACGAACACATGGTTGTTCGTAGGCCTAGTGGTATCTTTTCCCTTTTATGGTTGTGGTTGTACGTACATTAAGCCCATTACATGTATTTATCCACTTTCTCGGTCACTCACTGCCTGTGTTTCCCGGTTTTGCACTTACATTGCATCGCCGTTAAACTTCGTGACTTGCACTAGTACTACTTCAGCGTGAGGCAACAATTTCTGTGGAGGATTCGGTATGCTAATCACCAACGTAAGTGCGACCATGGAGGTAGAAATACTTTTATAGGTGCGACTATTCCCGGCATTGAGGAACCTCTTGCAGTGATTTACCGGCCATCAGAAAGCTATAACATGTCTTCAAAAGTCAAATTTAGCAGGGAAAATATTGAAGCATTTACCTGTGTTCCTTCCTCCATGGTACTAAGCAAGCCCTTAGAATTTTTTGAGGGCCAGCCTAGTCCCATAGGATTGCATTGACAGGGCGTCAAGTGATGTCTGCTATGTCCGTGTATAGATCTTTTTTTCACCATGAGTGATGGCATGAGTTTATTTGAGAATGGGTTGATCTAGAAAAGGGTGGTAAAAAATACTTGCTCATTGCCAGAAAATATTGGGGCTTTAGTATCGGCAGGACAAATGAGGTGTTTTTTTAACGTAGCCAAAAGTAAGGGTTGGTTGGATATGAGAAACATAAACATGATGAAAAATATTAAGGAAAGAGTTCCATATACGGTCAAGGTTTTCCAGTAAATTTTGAATAATGGACATACATCTCCTTGGTGTTTGCATGAGTTAAACTACTTGTGCCATTCGTGCATGGCTAATATACCAGTAGTTCAAAAATACCTCAGAGTCCCCCTCTTCCCAGAATAGACCTATTCACCAGTGTTAACTAGTTATGTGCACATACACTTACAAATGGCCTTGGCGGCAAGAAGTGTGAGTGGACCATTGAAAAATAAATCCCATTAAATTGTTTTTGGTATTAGTTTCTAATCTATGCAGGAATTTTAGTGCTCTGTAGAAAGACTTTACAATCGTGATTTTCCCTATGCGCACAGGATTGCATTATCTAAGCTGGTCTCCTTTCATGCTGTTTTATAGAAAAAATGATTTAATGGGATTTTCTGAAGAAAAAACTGAACAAAGCCAAAAAACCTGAGAGAAAATGATCAAAATCACACCCCAGTGTGCTTTCAATGGCCTGCTCACACTTCTTGCTGCCAAGGCCATTTGTGTGCATGCCTGCATAGTTATGTATTTATTAGTGAAAAGGTCTACAGTAACAGAACTGACTTGGGGGTATGATTATTCATTGTCACTGTACCCTGCAAGTGCACTGTCAAGCTTGCAAGCAAACCAATTCAGTGTAATGTTTACATGACAATTGGCTTCCCTCACAGTGGACTGCCGATTTGAATTGTGTGTGCTAAATACTGGTACAGCCTGAAAGTTACTTTCAGACACCCAACCCCACTTGCCCCTGGCTAGACTTCAAGTTGTGCATGGTAATTAAGTTAGTTTTTGGAAGGTTTCTATGCTTTTTTGGCATTGTCCGTGTATAGAACTCTTGCCAAAAAGGATTACAGAGAAAAGAAAAGTTGGAAAAAGTTCCATACACAGACACTTGACACTCTGTGCACAAACCCTATGAGACTGGTCTGAAATATTCTTTAGTTTTTATTTTATAATGCTTCAACACTTTCACTCCTAAATTTGGGGAGAGTTTCACATAAGGACACAACAAATTTTCCCGTGTAGTGGTTTATTAACCATCAGAAAGTTCTACATGTACATGTATATGCCCTAAAAAGTAAAAAAAAAATTACCCAGAAAACAGAAGTTTTCTGATCAGTCTCATAAGGTTTGTGCATACATGTACCGTAGAGTGTCAAGTGATGTCTGGGTATGGAAGTCTTTCCCTAAATTTGAGTCTTCAGGACTTGTCATCCATTTGTATATGATAGCACGATGTAGTCTTGCCGATCGACTGGTCTGTGTCGCGCCCACCATTCGGTTCTGTTTGATGCCCAACTTGACAAACTTGGTATGCCAATTTTGCACTTGACAAACTTAGCATGCGAATTTGCACTTGACAAAATTGAAGCAATACAGCAAGTTGGGATGTATTGCACAGCTCTGCACTGGTTATTGATGTTCATTCATGACCATATATTTTATACATGTACGTACGTAGATCATGCAACAAACAATCATCATTCTTCATCTTTCCTCTGTTGTAACAATTATTCCGTGATTTTCTGCAGGTCTGTTTAAAATCGTATCATTGCTTGCAAAACCCTGTCATATTTGTTCAGTCAATAAAGTCAAGATTTTCAAGTATTGGTATACAGTGCTTGTAACTTCCCTGCCCAGAACTAGATTACCTCAGAGAGTCAGTACTGCTCAACAGCAAGCATAGTATGCAGGTAAAAACTTTGCGTCCAGGTGCTAGAGGGTGCAAATGAGAAAATAAACCACTTGATCAATTGATAGCTTTACCATGCATTACTTGATCTGTAAAGGTTCTAGAACTAGGCCAGTTACACATATGTACACCATGCTTACATGTATTTATTGAGTCATTTTTACATTAATAGTGGCTCCATACATGTAAGTAATACCGGAATAAATTCCCTTTCAAGATAACAGAAATGGGAACCCACACAATACCAGTAAGACTAGTTTCTGAGACGTTTCTACTTTTACTTTTTCACAACTACCGGTAACGCTATCGTCGCTATTCTTACATACTGTATTAAAAAGAATGTTTTTCTTTTAAATTACCAAACTGATAATGTCATCATTGATTTTTGCTTGTTTGTCTTCATTTCCCTAACAGCATGTGCCGCAAGTCCATGTACAAATGGGGGTCAGTGCTATCTGTCAAATAATGACTACATTTGCAATTGCACTTTCGGTCGGGACGGTCAAAATTGCGAGTTGGACGCGGGTGAGTATTGATATTCTCAGTCTGGTTCCACTTGCAGCAAAATGGACTGAAAGATTGACTGAAAATTGAAGGTTGGAGAGAGAAGCACATTATCAAAAAATGCATGGTTTATGAATAGAAACTGTGAATTCTGTTCTCAAAATTTGTAGGAAGCTGACTATAAACTATCCTCCCCCTTTTTTCTTAATGAAAGAAGATGGGATTGGCATTTCATTCACAGTATATAGAAGCTCGGTAATCGATCAATCGATTAATTGTTTTGTTACAGGAGGAAATTGTGGCTCATACCATTTTGATGAGAGATCGGGATCCATCACTTCCCCTAACCACCCAAACATATATCCCAACAACAGACTGTGTGTCTACTCTATCAAGATTGTTGGAGCTCAGATGATAACTTTCACCATCGAATCGTTTGTGACAGAGGTGAACAAAGATGTGTTGGACGTCTTTGTGGGCCCATCGACGCAGAGTGCAAGTGTATTTATGTCATTCCAGGGTAATTACAGCACTGCCACAGGCCTGATGCTCCCGGACCCCTTCACCATTAATTCTGACCAAGTCAGCTTCTTCTTCACTACTGACAGGAACATCCAGCTTCCAGGCTGGAACATTACTTGGACCAGTGGTAAGTTCAGTGCACTCTTTTTAACGCTACAGTAATTTCCTGCCCCAGGATCTCAGGGTTTGAAAAATTTAAACAAGGGCACATGGTGCCATTTGAAACCTGACTAATTTTCTAGATGTTTGCCAAATAGCTGAGTAGTCGTATATTCGATTTTCTTCTGGTTCAGTGCAGTGAAATAATAAGTTAGGTCTCTAAACTGCATCATGTGCTCAAGCTGTGCTGAATATCTGAATATTCAATCGATTATCGAATATTCAAATGTTATTTTCCGAATTTGTATATTCAAATGCAAAATTCATGAAAAGGAAGGGAGAAGTTTGTTTTGTTTTAAATGAAAAAAAATTGCGCAATGGTAGCTTTTTTTAAGCAGATTCATGTGAAAGTGACAGAATAATGTATCTTCAGAAAGTAAAGTACTCATTAAAAATTTTAAAAGAATAGAATTTTCAACAGGGCAAGAGGTATTGTTTGTCTGTTAAATCTTGCTAAATCATGGCGGAAGATACTCCTATAGTGATTATTATAATGTACAAATGTGCGGGTTATTGCAACTGATTTTGTATATGGTTTGTTCATCTGCCAATCGGTATGACCGAATATTTAGCTATTCAATCAAATTAAAGGTCGAATATTCTAATAGTTAACTATTCGAATTGACTCAGCCCCACAATAAAGGTTTTATCCAAACTTGGGTTGCTTCTTACCTGGGTTGGTCACAATCTAGGGTGTTTTCAACCAGAGCTTTGTAGTATTTCTGACCATCGATCATGCCCAACCAAGACTGGTTGGGATTTGTTGGGGCACCAGGACTTCCTTTCCACTCCCTGCTTCTTTTCTATCAGCCTCAGATGAGTCGAGTCTGGGCAATTGTAACTGTCTCAAATCACGTTCAAGTTGGATGGGATATCATCCAGTATATTCTTCCCTTGTACTGGGCAGATGGAAATGACTGTAATCCCAACATGTGCCAGAACGGAGCAACCTGTGTTGACCTACAGAATGACTACAACTGCACCTGTGCGCCGGGCTATGAAGGCAGAAACTGTGAAATAGGTAACTAACATGCTCACAATTTAACATCAACTTCCCCTTCAACATGTTCAATAAATTGCAGAGAGTGCAACACACACATGTTGGAGAGTTACTGAGAAATTTTTTAAGTAACCCTCTGAGTCATTCTTTTTAATTCGGGTGCTGTTCGCAAATTACCAAGACTTCACTTTAATACACAAAATGCATTTATTTATTGAAGCAGCAACTCTGGTGCCACAAATGTGAAGGTTAGATTCCTAAACGTGATGAGCAATAGTGCAGTGAAAGTCATCTTTACATCTGCACCTAGGTTTTCTAAAGCATGTTGAATAAATGGTCTGAACCATCAACTGAAGTATTGCAGCCAACATTATAAAAGAACCACCACATAAAGTTGGGTCATTCCATGAGGTTGGGGCACAATTTGTGATTCTGTCCATTGTTGGGTGGGTTCTGTAAAAATGAACAGCTATTTCCCTGCATGTGGATTCCAAATTGACATTGTTATACACCTTGCAAGGCTGAATACAGAGGTGTGTGTTATTTTTACAGAATAAATGACCTATTCTACACGTCATGAAATGTGGTAAAAATTACCCATGTAACAAGGACACCGCCACAAATTGTGCCCCAACCTCATGGAATGACCTAGTTACTCAGTGTTACCCTTAAAGCCCATCTCTCAAGATCTCCTGATGTTGCAAAACAAAGCCAAACCATGAGGACAGACCCAAATGTAGTTTTATCAACCTGGTCCTGTATTCAGAATCAGAATATCTTGTCAGAGCATTGATGTAACACATTGAAAGAATGCGGATATAAACTTTTAAAGCTGAACCTTTTCTGACACTGGAGGAAAAGGTTTTAGAGGTACCTATACGTGTACACTGTATGTGTCAGGCAAAACAATTTTTGAGGAGGATTGGGAGTTATAAGGGTTTGATTTTGAAATATTTTTTAAACAACGGCTCAGAATTTCAGAAATGTTTGAATTGGGCAAATTCTAAGTTTTGTTTCCTGAAAATATCAAAAGGGATTAATTTTTTGGAGGTTGGGCATTGTCCCACTTGTACCTATTTAGAACTACCTACAGGCACTAACCCATGATGTCAAAAACTGATATGATATTCGACTTAATTTTGTCAGCTTTGCTCGCTCGCAAAAAGTTGAGTGATCACACCAGGTTCGTTTTCAGAACTCCACACTCCAGGGAGAGAGTAAGGTGGTATCATTCAAAGATCGTCTCATTGCAAAATGTCATATTTGTTTTCCCCGTCAGATATCAATGAGTGTGCTAGTAACCCCTGTCAAAATGGAGCTACTTGCAATGACCTAATTGCACTCTTCACTTGCACCTGTCTTCCTGGATATGCTGGGGAATTTTGTGAAATCAGTAAGTATCACCAGACCCAAAAAAGTTGTCCCACACATATCTCACACATCGTTTGCTGCTCTGCATGTAATTCTTCACCAAACCACAGGCCTGGAATGGGCAGAACCAGGCATGCACACAAGAATTCTTTAAAGGGGGAAATCACACTTTTCGTGCCTTGAATTCTAAGAAGGAAATTATTTTTAAGATGTTAAAATTGGCCTGTTTTTAGAACGTGTACGGAGTATTGTCCATATAAGGCTAAAGGCCAGCTCATACTTTGTACAAACGCCAACAAAAATGCAATGTGACAGATTAGGTCTGTGCTGCAACGTTGCACAGGTTGAACTCATTTAATGTGGGCAAGTTTTGCATAATGTCAAATTCATTTTGCTGTTTCCTAATAATAATAATAATAAAATGGATTTAGTGAACACCCTTTGTTAAATTAACCTCAGGATGATTTACAATAAATACCAAGGAGGCAAAGATGCATGGAAATGAAAAAAATAATACTCTAAGATCCCTGATCAATTGCTAAAACTCTAAACCTGATCATTACTGACAAGCTAACCCTGATCAATTGCTGACATTTGTCTTGTTACTCCTTATATGTCGTAAGTTCAGACTGGACAGATGTCATGTACATTTACAGAAGGGGAACTAAGGCCAGTTCATACTTGTTGAGAGGAACAAAGTGCACACAAACAGGATTGTGTCGCGTCAGATCAAAAATATGCTGAAGTTGAACGCATTTCAACTCAAGTAAACTTTGCTATAAAGGTAATCACCTTGCAGTAGGGTATAGAACAGCCTACTTATGATTGCAAATACAGAAAATACAGTTACTCCGATGTTGATTTGACTCCATTTTGGCAGACTGAATTTTCAGCTTGGAGTACCCCATTACATGTGTGTGCAGTGTTCCAAAGTTGGACATTAAGGTGATCCAGAAACTTTTAAGAGGATTCATTTGACCACTTCAGTAATAAGGTTTTGTTGTCTCTTTTCAGACATCAACGAATGCAGCAGTGGTCCTTGCCAGAATGGTGGTGTTTGCGTCGATGGTGTGAATAGCTTTGTTTGCCAGTGTCAACCCGGATTCACAGGCACCTTTTGCCAGATCAGTAAGTAATCGATAGGCTGCTTGGAGCCCTTTACATGGTATTCTTTTTGAAATACTCAATGTCATCTGACCGGTGTCATACCCCACCCCACACCCACCTTCATGGATCGTCAATTTGGTGTACAGCATGTTTGGATTCTGTTGTACACATGTGCAGTGTAAATTCGGTCAAAACAAACATATTTAATGAATGCATTTGGCTCTTGACCATGGAAGCACTGCATGCTAAATTTAATTGAGCCTTCTCAATGAATTTGTACTACCAACTCTCAACCTTTTGATAATGTTTGCTCAGGATGAAGTTTGTGTGAGTAAAAAAAACTAAGATGCTGTCCCACAAGAAGGGGGTGGACGTGATAGGGGCCTATATATGTATTTTTTGTATTCACTTTTTTTGCACTTTTAGAAAGCATTTCAAATTCTCTGCTGCTGTTTCACTGAGGGAAGAAACTGTTCATATCAGTTTATATATTTCTGGTTATATTTTGGAAACATACACACATGCTCATTGGAAATAGACACACATGTACAGACCATCACAAGACCAGACACAAGACCACGCCCAAGACCATGCACAAGACCAGCCACAAGGAACAGTGTGAACAATGACAAAGGACTGCTTTTATTGCTGTTCCTTTGAATAGCTTGCGACTGGAAATCAGACTGGAGGTCTTGTGTTGGTCTTGTGAAGGTCTTAACTGGTCTTGACTACAACACTGCTTATCACTATAGTGAATCATTAAAGAACAGGAAATTGAATATAGCAGAGTATCAAAAAATTCTATCAGTTCTGCACCAGTCAATGCAAAATTGAGGTGTTCTGTCCGGAAGGACATGGCAGTTTTGCTCAGGAATATGGAAATTTGCATTTGCATGAAAACCAAAACATCACTGCAATACCCTTAATAATAGCAAAACAAGGATTGAAAAAAATAATTAGAGCTGAAAGGTGAATGTTCAAAGGTACTGTTGAGAAAAAATTGCATCACCTACACTCTGCAAACCCTTATAAGACCAATTAGATAAAGATAACAGCACTAATAATGCAACTGTTTTTTCCTTTAACTCACCAGTTATGCTTGCAGTGTCAACACCTTTGTTTTAATCCCCCCCCTCAACTTTTTCAATTCTATTCCATTTCCCTTCAGACATTAATGAGTGTGCGTCATCTCCCTGTGTCAATGGTGGGACCTGTGTTGATGGTATCAACATGTTCACCTGCAACTGCATCTTGGGTTTCACAGGCACCCGCTGCGAGATCAGTAAGAAAGATGCTAAAAATTTCTCAAATCTCTAAAAATGCAGTGTGAACAATATGCATTGGTGTAAGAGAGTTAGAACCTAATATCAAAACGAAACACTTCCACAAAGGCCAAAGCTTAACTGGGTACGCCGGAACAGGTAGCCTTTTAGTTTTACAAGGGAAAATTATCAACTACTCCCACGTAAAAAATGTGAATACTGTCGTAGAAATTCATCCCTGCATCAGAATTCATTTTCGATCAATGGAGTTTTATTCACAAGACTCTTTTTCCCTGCCGTGTATCATGGTCAAAGTGTCTGTGAAAAAATTTCATGGAGTTGCATATAGACCTGCCCATCGATTGGTGATTTTGAAGTGCAATTTATTCATGCAATGAAAAGGCTTCTTTTGTTTTAATGGGATCAGATCAGAGGACTGATTGCCTTGGTAGTTTTAGGTCATGTCTGAATAACTTGGCCGTGGTTCAAAATTACACACGAGTCCTCACACAGTTGCGGCCAATTCCCAAAGAGCTGTGTGCAGTTTCAAGCTGCAGCCCAATAGCCCAGAATTTGCTTAAGCACAAAAACCCTTACTTAATAAACAAAGGTTACCAGCTCAAACTATATGTGATTGTCATGCTCACCAAAAGACAGGTAAATACCATTCCAAAACAATATACATCACAAGATTTGTCAGGCAAGGTTTTTCCACGCTTAAACAATTTTTTTTGTATAAGCAGCACTATGAAATTGGCCCATGGACACGTCTTTCTTTTTGCATTTACCTAAATAACGTTAAATTCTCAGTGGAATCAGTTCTCGATTGAGAACATCTTGTCCGAAGAAAGTAAGTTTTCGGGACATGTTGTTGCCATATCTGCTTGAAATATACATGCACATGCTGAACACCATAGCACAAATCAGGTTACAGCAGGGTGGAATTAAAAGGGAGAAATACCTTTGATTTCCGTCTACAGACATTGACGAATGTGCAAGCTCTCCTTGCCAGAATGGTGGTATATGCAATGATGGCATCAACTCATACACGTGTACTTGCCTGGCGGGATTCGCTGGACCAATCTGTGAGATCAGTAAGTACTGGTTTGAGACAGAGTTTAACCTGAAAGATACTGTGTTTAAACATGGGATGAACTACCGGCTAACACAAATTTTAGCCTGGCACACCCCAGCATGCTCTTTTCCCTGCATCGAAACTATTAATTTGCCTTAAGCAAAGATGGTGTAGCAGTCCATCTCTTAGCAAGGTTAGTTGAGAGCCCCATGTAAACCAATTGTTGATGCACTATTATTGCTTGAGGGCGTAAGGTTAGCAAATGTTTTCTCCGCATTACAAAATCCCATGATACACAGTACAGTGCACACAAACATTTGATAACTGTTTCTTATAATACTTAGACGATCGAGCCCTTCCATCGCTGACTGAGTGCCCAATCTGCAGTAACCCCTTTTCTTTTCATCTTCTTACGGTTTTCTTCAGATATTGATGAGTGTGCCAGTAATCCATGTTTGAATGGAGGTGTATGTCAGGACGGTGTCAATGCATTTACTTGCAACTGTATTCCTGGATGGACGGGTACACTATGTGGAATAAGTGAGTAATGTTGTCCAGATATGCACCCTTTACTTGTCACCTGCATAAAATACTTAGCGAGATATCGTTAATCCTGATTGCCATGCGAGTTGCAGCAGAATGTGAGTGATGATGAGGTTTTACCAAAAAGCTCGACAACGGTCGTTTGAGTGTGACTTTCTTGCACAGTGTATTCACATTGGTAAAGCACAATGGATGACCAGTGGTCAAACTGCTCTTGTGGCTGAGCTTTGCCCATGGTACCGGCTAGTGGAATGATTTTGGCCCGAAGGAAAAGTTAAAAAAATGCATTATCTTTTTCCTGCCCAGAGTCTGAATGTATTGCCACCTACTTTGACCGAGAGTGTTTCCGCACCGTTGTTCTTGTTGCTGTTTTTTTTTCATAACTCATAACTGCTATTTTCCTCCATTTACCAGACATCAACGAGTGTGGAAGTAATCCTTGCCTTAATGGTGGAGTGTGTATCGATGGGATTAACAGTTACATTTGTAACTGTGCAGTTGGATACAGTGGCTTTCGCTGTGAAATAAGTGAGTTGCAATTGAGGTGGGGGGGGGAATACCCCATATTCCACATGTTTTTTTCATTTTAGAAGATTGCCACTGAAAATTAATTTCAGTCACCACTGATTTGGCCGAGGGGAATTTGATTTTGACTCAAAAATTTAGGAATCTCATGACTGACACAGTCTGATTTTCATTAGCAAAACCAAACTTGTCCAAGTTATGTTTTGTAAGTGTGATTTAGATATACAAAAGCAGTATTTTCAAGTGAAGTGATTACCTAATTTTGACTGCTGTTTGTATTAGTCAAACATGCCAGTATAATTGACTATTTTATCCAGAAATAACAATGTGAACCAAACAGAATTATCAAGTTTGACTTGTTCTCAAACAGGAGCCTCCTGACAGTAATTAATTTATTTGTTGCTTTTATTCTTTAAGATATTAACGATTGCGCCAGCTTACCCTGCCAAAACGGAGGCACATGTACTGATGGGGTCAACAGCTTTACCTGCTCCTGCATTGCTGGATACACAGGAATTTTCTGTGAAATAAGTGAGTTTGTTTTTATCTTAGTTTCAGTGCATTGCCTGCGGGTATATTCCGATTCCTTCCAGAGCTCTTTCATTCCAGTTCCATTGTACAATATTCTACCACTTTTTTTTAGTTTAATGTCTTTCATCACAGCATGGCCTCAAGCAAATCATACTGGGAAAGTGACTAGGGGCTTGCATGTTAATTATGAAGATGAAAAAGGAAATTTAAACCTTCAGTGAGATTTGAACCAGTGACCTCTGGCATGCCCATGTAAGTGCTCTACCACCTAGCTACACAGCCCTGTGTTGACTGTTGTTCTCATTTGTTGTGTATTTGAGGTGTGATCCATGGTCATACGGTGTTTCATGTACAGTGGCTTTAGATTAGCACCAGTAAAAAAGATACCAACATACAGGAAGAACCTCCAACATAGGGCTGGGAATCCCAGTTGGTAGAGTGTTCCAGAGGTCACAGGTTCAAATCCTGCTCTATTCAATTTCTCTGTTCATCTTTATAATTGAAACAAAGTTGTCTGCTTGTTAAGAGTTAAATGCTTTTTGAAGTAGTCATACTAAATATTGTGCCATTCCCAGTTATGTGGGTTTTATTCAATCCTTAACCCTAACCCTCCTGAATCCTTCACCTGCCGGAGGATTGAGGAGGGTTAGGGTTAACTTCCGTGAAAATTGTTTCAATAGTTTTTGTATAGATACAGATAGGAAAAGTCACCAGCGATATCTCTCTAGTTCACTGATGCAGGGCAAGGCAGTGCTATACACTGAATTCTAAGGAAGAAGTCTCCCTATAGCAGAATATGAATGTTTTTCTTGAATATTTTTAGAACAAATGAGTAGGACTTGTAGAGAGAGTTAAAAATGTAACATCATATTTGCAAACGGTATGTTTACGAAAAAAGAGTTGCATGTCATCTTAAAGAAGAGCGGTACACTTGTCAATCAAAGTCATCACAGTGTGTCTAAAACATTCTGAGTGAATAAGTGCAAAACAGAAAATAAAGAATGACTCACTCCAGATTTGTGCTTTATAAGTGATATTGCAAAAAGGCCGCCCAACCAAATTTTGCACAATTTGAAAACATTGGTGCTCAATGATGTGTGCTCCTGGATAAGTTATCAGTGTAAACATACCAGGTAGACTGTTTTTCTTTCAGATGATATCAAGCAGTTTGCTTATAAACAAATACATGTAGTTTCAATATATAAACACTTACCACCTTTTCAAAGTCTGCAGTTATTTCCATTATTTAAGCAAGTCCAATGAAAGCAGATTTTTATCATTCAGCTTATTCTTTTTTGTCAGTGTATTTAGAAAATGAATTAAGCTAACTACATAGGTATACGTACATGTAGGTACCGGTACAAGATTCTCCAAATTGTTTGACACTTTGTAAGTCACCAGATATATAGTTCTTTAATTAAGAAAAAATGATGTAAAGAAACAGTGTTAGCATTGTCTTTAGTTATTATACTTTAGTGCACATGGGATAAATTTGATGGGATCTGAATGTTATTTCAGAAGAGGGTGCTATTTCTTGAGTTACGAGTGGTGAAGGTTTTCTCGTGGGAACTTAAGCCTTGTCCAACTGGCTGCGGCCGAGCATGATACATGCATCTGTGGGGAGTAGCTGCAGCCACTTGTCAGGGTTGACTTCCATGGTTGCGCGTGTCATTGCCGGTCTGCAGTGACCAAGTAGATGTAATTTGGGGGCAGTTTCATTTCACCGGTGTCGCACCAAACTATAACAAGTTTTAACATGTTTTGGAATCATTAACCGGGCTTCTACCACCCTGTAGCATGCAGTTTCCTGCATTTAGTGTCATTGCCTTAAGCACTTTGCCCCGGAGCAGGACATGTAATCACACAAGGATGGCTGATGTAATGTCAATCGTGCATGCCCCCAAACACCACCAGCAGACGTGTATATTGGCTAATCCCTAGAAACCTGTGGACCTTGTATTGATCTTAAACTTGACCACTGTACACGGCTGTCTGTTGTATAGAGCAAATATTGCTCCATGGGAGTATCCTGGAGTATTCAAAAATATGACTGAGGCTTTAGTAAGAAATATCACTGAGATGTTTTCAGATGACTCTAAAAAGAGTTGGTATCCGTGGTGTTTTGGCTGTATACATGAACCTTGCCTTTTTCAAAAATCAATCACTTTGTCTAGATTAATACCCTCTGCGTGTGGACAATATTTTGAAAAGGAGAGGGCTGTAGTCAGATCCATCCAAAGTCCAGTTACAGGCCCTTCAAAGGTCTTTCACAAGACCACAAGTCACACACAATCACAGGAGCAGCAGTGGCAAACAAATTATGGTTTTGCTACATGTACCTTTCATTTGGGTAGCTTGCAGTATTGTACTACTTATACTTGAGTACTTTTTCTGTACTCATACTCACACTTGTCAAAAAATAATACTTATACTCGCACTCAAACTTGTGGAAATGTACTCGTACTCATACTCTCAAGAAACAATTTCCCTACTCATACTCTTGGAAAGGTACTCGTACTTGGGTGCCTCAGGGCCTTCAATGAATTCATGTTAAGCACCCAGTTGATTTAGCTCCATAGTTAACATACAAAAGTCACAGCAGTGCATTTCTTGGAATAAACCAATGAGGTCATCATAACCTGATGACAGCCCTGTATAGACCTTTTTCCAGTGATGTCACGGTCTGCTCAGTGGACCTCTGATGTGTTGTTGTGATGGTAATGAGTGCATTGTGTTGTGATGGTAATCTACTTATTCAAGATAAACTAGTTTGTGCTCTGTCCACTAATGCCTTCAGTTTAAACAATGTGGTCATTTGCCAAAACAGTGTACCAGTCTCCTTGCTACTGTACAGTCACAGTCACTCTCTTATTTTCTGCTTGTGCATTATGATGATGTAGAACTACTCATACTTGAGTACTTTTTTCTGTTCTCGTACTCATGAAATTGTACTTGTACTCTTCTTCATACCAAATTACACAGACTCATACTCATGAAAAAGTACTTGACTGGTGGCTTGTGACTTGGTGTAAGATTGGATAACTTGTGATAAACTTTGGATGGACTTAGAGGGACTTGTGAGGACTGTGGTGGATTTGACGACTGTCCTAGAAAAGGGTTACTGGGGGTACATGTATGGCTATTTGCTGTTTGCATTTCAGAAACTTTGGAGGAAACGAATCCAGCCACAGGGTGATAAAGCAGTGTGTCACTAAATATTCACCATTTAATATTTTTCCTCATTACTCAATCAATAGCACCATCTTTTGAGGAGTGACATTCTAAATATTTTCACTTGTTTCAAATGCTCTTGTTTACGCATCAAAAAGTTGAAAAAAAATTTCAAGATTTTTGTACGTGTACAATGTAGAAAATATCCCATGTGCATTATTTATCATTTAATGAAAAACCACTTCGAGGTGCGAAGCATTTAATTATAACTTCATTTTGAACTGCATAAAATGTAATTGTATTGTAAGTATAACAATTCCTCTTCTAAATGTTTAGACTCTAAAGCGTAGCTGCTAAGATCATTGACAAACACCAAAGGGGTGGACCCTCTGAAGATAAACATGAATATGCAAATGCCTTTGCATAAATGAATATATATACATGTACATGTATAAAATTGTGTCTCTAATGGCTGAACTGCTCTCTTTTCAACTGCAGATGGAGCATGGCTCTCCAGTTACTCATGTGCACTAGCCCACAATGCATTTGAACCACATCTTGTCGGGAAGGCCAGGGTTTAACACAAAATGTAGGTTTAGTGCTGCAATTCTCTGTAGTGAAAATTTGGCCCCATTTGAAAGAAATGCAGATATATCAGATATTGTTCTTTTCCGCTTTCAGGTAATTTGTCCTTCAGTAGGGAGTAATGTACTTGTAATGCATATTTAGTTCTACATGTACATGTACATGTACATATGTACATGTAATCAAAGTGGCCCTACAGTATATATCATGCCATCATTGCATTTGATGAGATTAAAAATGTTTCTTATTGAGCTTTCCAGATAATTATTTATGGCCGGAAATATTTTTTTGCTCACTTTTAAATAGGAGTTTGTAGACAGTGCAGGCTTAGAAATTTGGTCTTAGGAAAACCTGTACAAAAAGAGACAAGCATGAGCATGAAATCATGCATTGTAAGCCCAAAGAGATACATGTAAATCGTAACCAGTACTGGGTACCTCAACTTGCTGAACAGTGAAAATCAGATTCACTCCAACTGTTGTTTTTCAAATGTAGATTCTGCAACTTTTTTTTATATACGTGCTTCGTCATTTGAAGACATCACATTTTATTCCATGTAATCATGAAAGAATTAAACTTATCAAAACTTCCAGAGTACGCATGCATTTGTCATTTTGTCCTGGGGGGGGGTTAAAAGCACAATGGCATTATGCTTGGGAAATTTAACTATTCAAAATATTATCAATATTAGAAAAGCATGTCAGATATATTTGATATAATTTTTTGTAGACAGTGTAGCTAAGTGCTTTTGTTTCTATGAGAAAATGTGTCAAAAAATAGTGCCATGAAAGAGGCAAACATGCATGATGTCCTTAAACTCTTTGAGTGTAGTTCTTTTTATTATCAGGCAGTGCGTATCATATTCCTGTAGTCTTTTTTAACATATCAAAAACCCTGTTTATTTTAGCCATGTAGTTTCTATTGTGTAAGTAAATATAGTATTTGTAAAAACATACTTTTTGCATTCAATACAATGCACAGAGTATGTTTTTCTGGCAAAAGGGAACACCATTTAGTGCTAGGATAGACAGATTATGGGAAAGTTCTTAGCAATCCCAATACGTAGATAGGGACAGGTTTTACATGTAGTTGGCTCCATCCAACTCCCCCCTCCCATTTCTTACTCTCTCCTCTTCTCATCATTCCTTTCAAACTTACTGACGCTCACCTTTTGTTTGCCATTTCTCAACTCTACTAACACCATTTTCTTTTAACTTGAATTAAACCCAGTTGCAAGTACCACTATAAACTTGAAATGAAATGTGTTATAAAAATCAGGCAAATCAAAACATCTATGATAGTTTCCATCCCACAGGCACATATAATCATTACATTACCGTTGCAGAGAGTTTGGATTTAGAACCCTAAATCTTAAGGCCAAACAAATAACTAGATATGTTTCCTATTACACACTGAAAAATAAATTAGGGTGGTTGGTTGGGTAAAAAATTTTTTTCTTCTCTAAATTTTGTTCGCCCCAAAAAATAGGGTCTCATGATGGTCTATATTTTTGGGGCGATGGGGGACTGGTATATTTGTAACAGGTACTAAGTCAGTGTCAGATTAATACTCTGCATGTACCACAAATAAATCAAGCCAAAGATTTTCGTATTGTTGGCTGTCTCATGCAAAAAAACAAAAAATTAAAACAATACAATGTACAGGACGATGCACTCAAAATTGGGCTGGGGGCAAGGCACCATTAGGTTTTTATATTTCGTTGATTTATCGAATAAAAAGATACAGGTTCCGCGTGATTTTCACGATTGGGTCGGTCAACAGGAAACACAGATAGTTTTTTGTTTGGCCTAAAGCATATTTAGTGTTGCTGACGCCTGGATGGATAGAAGACAATGTGGTAAATTGTCTGTTCAAGGACTTATATTCAATCATCGTACTGCATTTCAGTCCTGGCACATTTTAAAAAAATTCTTGTACATGTAGCTCCTTTTCCACATGTCATTTCCAATATCTGTAAAATTAATGTACAAATGCTTTGTTTCTCAATTTAAAGTAATGCTGTTTTCTCTTCTCCCTGATTAATGTGTCTGTGAGTGTTCAGATGCATCCTCATACATGTATTGTTTCATTACCATCGTGCATTGAGTCTCATGTGTGAATTTTATAATGTGCATTTTCTCTCATTGTTACAAATGAACTGATAATGTGTTTATATTTGCATTTCTTATGATGTTGACTTTGTTTTTATCTGTGTTCAAAAACTGTTCATTTGTTGCGTACAACTCTCACATGTCCGGTGGCACAGCAGAGAATGATACACAGGGAGAACAAATGTTCCTGGTCACCAAAGCTCAAAGAAACTGTGACTGCATCCAAAGCAAAGAGGGATATTACTGAAACATAAAGACGTTTTGCATTGTCTTGCTTTGTATAGCTTTGTATTGTTTTTGTTTGGGTCTTAAATCAACAAATCAATTGTACTTCGAGACAGTTTTAAAAATTTGTGACATTATTGACTGTTCCTTCATTTTTCTCCTCTTTTCCACATCAGCACCAAAGTTGCTGAAAGTTACAAACTCATATGTTTCACTTCACATCTTAAAAAATACAACAATTCCTCAGCATTTGACAAAGGTACTTAACCTTGCAGGATAGGAGGATGCAAATTTGGAAGATGATTTCAAAGAGTGATGTGACAGATTCACCCCCATCTTAATATATGAAATGGGATACGAGTGAACATTGTACGATCAAAAGTTTTGCCAACAGTCCTCCATTTTAAACCATGAAAATGATGTACTTTCCTGCTTACGTGTTCAGTAGCATTTGTATCAACGATAAATTACACATACACTGTAGAATCATGGCATGTTGCTTTTGTCTGTTTCCACAGAAAACAATCATTAGAAAAACGCAGAATCTGTTTTGGTTCAACCTGTCCAAATTGCCAAGCATTAGTCACTTGTCACAAAAAAGTGCAGTTGCAGTTTCTTTCTTCATACTAACTTATGGAGTTGAAGAAAAACATTATTACATGTATAAGCATGCATGTAGTGTAGAATGATTAAAGGGGAACATTTCCTCCCTGGTTTTATCTTGTTGTACCACTGTGTCATTTGAGAGCAAATATCAGTGATTTCTATATTGACTTTCATATTTTTGAGAATGCATTTAACATTGTTTTCCCCCTCATTCCTCCATCTGTTCATAATTTGTGAATTGTGGCACTGAGAACACTTTTTTTACATTGTTGTAAAAGCCAAAGCTTGAAATGTTTATATACATGACCTAGATGTCATAATTATCAAACAACAATCCAGCATGGACTTGATCATTGGCTTGTGTACATGTACATGCATTACAATACCATGAAAATCCCCTTAACCATTGGTTTATCTCCAAACCTTTAAGCAAAACATCAGGAATGCAATTGGCATTGCATGTATCTGTTGTTGCTTTTCCAATCAATAACATTTACTCTATCCCCTTTTAAATCAAAAACCCTGATGTAAAGGTTTGAATCTCTTGTAAATTGATGCCAATGTAATTTGGAAAAAAGTGAAATGTTTTGAATGTGAAATGCCAATTGTTCCACTTTTGCCAGTTAAGACCATTTCACCACAGACATTTCAACATAGCAAAAACGTTCCCCAGCACAAACTTCAACTGCATTTAAACCCATGTGTAATTTCCCAAACCTTGTGCCAAACTATGCAAGTAATTCTTTTTTTAACAGTCTGTGAAGTTCAAGGATTTGGTGGTTTTTCTTTTCAAGATATTGTCCTTTGGGTCAGAAGTCATCGTTGCATTATAAATATTGCCCAACCCATCGATATTTCCTTCCTCTGATTTTAGCATGTCCATCTTTTCACTTTTTTTGGTGGCATATAGCTTTGAAATTATCCTAAAGTCTTTTCAATCTGTGTTACAAGATATCAACGAATGTGCCAGCAACCCTTGCCTAAATGGCGGAATTTGCAATGATCAGGTCAACAGCTATGTGTGTAACTGCCCAGCTGGTTACACTGGCATCCGATGTGAAATTGGTAAGTTTGCCACAGTGGCTACTGCTTTGGAAGATTATCTGAAGAATCATCTCCCTGGTGCTGAAGGGGGGCATATATTTGTTGATTAATTGGGGAATTTAAGCCGTGGCTTAAGGGTTTATACTGTGATTTTCCCCTTAGTCACTAAGTCATAATGAAAAGGAAGATTAAACGGAGCAGCTTAGCAAAAAAAAGTCACTGAAAAACGCACCTCATGGACGGCAGAATATGTGATACGTTGAAAATAAATGTTGGCAGGGGCTGCGGAGACATGATATCACAGTCCTGGCAAGTATATGAAACAGTTACTTTGTTTTATGGGAAAAACAGCATTTTTGGAGGTTCAAAAAATAACACTGGGAAACTCCATGTAAGTGCCTCTGCTTTAGAATGCTGAATTGCCGAAATTCCATAATCTACTCTGAACTCAGTTGATTAGGGAATAGCAATGTTAAATAGCAACTGTAGAAGAAAAAAATCCCACATATTTTTGTTTTGAGCTCTGTAGTCATTACATTTGGCGGGCACTCCTTTCTAGAGTTTTTTTCAAAAGCTTCAACCCCTTCTGCCCTAATTAACTAACTCTTAACTTTGTTGAATTTTGTTGAGCTGTTTCAAACCACGACATAGTTATCTCTTTGACCGAAAGGAAATTACTCAAGAGACTCATAGTAATCTGCACAAAGTGGAGCACAAGTGCATTACGAATTACTCTGATTAAACAAAGTAATATTAAAAAACTCAGGCAACCTTCAATTGTGAGCAGAAAATTGAAGCTTGACTTAGAATCAGCATTTGCATGATTTGGGGTAAAATTCAATTTACCCTTCCTCCAGACATCAATGAGTGTGCCTCCAGCCCATGTCTCAACGGAGCAACCTGTAACAATCTGGTCAATCGCTATGAGTGCGTGTGTCTGCCTGGATACAGTGGCTTGCGTTGTCAGAATGGTGAGTACTGTTGAATTAGGAGCTAGCCAATTGGTTGAGCCAGGAGTTAATAAGGAGGTCTTGAGGGTTCAAATCCTACATTATCTTTTTAACACTGATATGCACATACTATCTATGCTGCACCTCACAAGAACTCTCTGAGAACCAAGCCATGCCAAATTCCCCAAGATCAAAGGTTACTTGCTCTGTTTACTCATGAAGACCAAACTGTGACGAGTTGAAAAATTTTCCGGCCTTGCTGAATCCAGGTGAGGGCTTGAAAATTTTAATGTATGTTTAATGCAGCTCTTGTAAATGCACTTTTTGTCCTGTTTAACCCAATTTCAATTTTTGTTGTGCCATTTTAAGGGCTTTTTAAAAAATGTTTATGCGAATGAATGCGTGTGTTTATTGTTTTTGGTCATCATGTCATAAAAGGAAGAAAGATCAGTATTTCAGCTATTCTTTATTAAAATTTGCCCCAAAATTTAGTTATTTTGAAGATACCAGTAGATTTTGTTTTACTCTGGTGATTTTTTGTTTCACTTCATGACAGCAGGCTAGTAGCAAATATTTCCATTGAGCAAATTTAGGGTTCATTATTCAGAAAACTCCCTAAATGAGCAGCGTCTTCCTGTAGGGACATTGTTGCAACAGCACCTCATTTGTCTGGAAAAGCATGGAAAATTTTTAATGTTCAAAAAGAGTAGTCTCCAATGAGTATAACCAAAAAGGGGCGTTGGACAAGGTTCTTGCTTTTAAAGAGAACAAGACTGAATAAATGTAATATTCACATGTGGATCCTTGAAAGACATATTCATGTTGATTTTTAACTTTTAAGACACGGCCTAGACAAGCTAGTCAAATATGCGCGAGTGTGCCGAGGATAGGTATTAGTCAATTTTCAGCTGATATTACCGATGCACAAATGGTCTCCTGGGTACTAGGCAAAATTGACTACTTGTTAATCAGTGGTCGCTGATTGGATCATCAGGTCTTTGCAACAAGAACCTCAGTTGTTTTGCAATTTTTATTGTGGATTCCTTGCTTTCTGTCTTTATCTCAGATGACAACGAGTGTCGCAGTAACCCTTGCCAGAATGGTGGCACATGCAATGACTTACTGAACAGGTACAGTTGTACTTGTGCTCCAGGCTGGACTGGAGTCAACTGTGAGATCAGTAAGTTGCCACCTTTTCTCAAAAGTCTTTTTCAACAAAAATGTAATATCCCAGGAACTTTTCTTCTGATGACAGGCTTTCCTCAACTGAAAATGGTTGATTCTCATAGGTTGATAAGGCTCCGTTCTTGCACTTTACGAAAAAGAAAGTGCAAGATTCACATAATAACAACCATTTAATTTATTTAGTTATTAGACATTCATGATATGCACAAGAAGATTTCTGTAAAAGCAGAGACTCACAGTAAATACAGGAAATATAACTAAATTAATTACAAGTCGGGTCGGAAATCAGCTCAAGTAACATAGGATGAACTACAGATTCGTGCATGTGCTTAATAAACTTGGTTGACTTCTGATGGTTATGATAATGACCTGTGGTGACATGTGATGAATTTTGATGAATAATACCATGACTTGCGGCAACGTGGCGTGACCTAACTGGGGAGCCATGTGTTGATTTTTTTATTATTTGTGAAGATGACATGATTACAATACTGAACGCAGTAGAAATTGTTGCATCGTGGGCTGTCTGTCTGATTTTGCCTTATTATCCCTCAGAATACCCGAGTGTACAAAGCCCATTTGGGGAGCCTTAAGGCAGCTTCCCCTATGTACATTCTCTGGTGCGTTGCCTACATGATGCATTCATGCATATAGTCTCTCACTTCAGACTTCCTGAAATCTCAGGCCAGAATTTACACACCATAAAATGTCTGACCATTGGTATCATCATTTTCTCTTTCAGATTTTAACGAGTGTGGCAGCACTCCATGCTTGAATGGTGGAACATGCAATGACCTGGTCAATGGATACCGATGCGACTGTCTTCTTGGTTTTACTGGAAGCAACTGCGAAATCAGTAAGTGGCCAGGGTAGGGTGTGCCTCATACATATTCACGATTGAGAGCCCAACTCCCGCTGGTCCATCAATCATCGTGTGCCAGTTGCTATCTTTGTTTTTACATGAAACACACCAGAGTTGCTGACTCGAGTCATGTGACTTGGACTCAAGTCGCTATTTTTGACTTGAGTTGTGACTTGACTTGTAAATACCAGCTTTGACTTTTGACTTGACTTGGACTTGCAAAAAATGACTTGTTACCAACCCAAGTCAGATGCTACTCTACCAGCCCCAAATATTTTTAGAACTTGCAACTCGTAACTTTGTAAGTTGACACCTTGTTCTTTTTGCTTATTACAGCTGGACAAAATAACGTGCACCGTGATGTACTTGGACAAAGAGACTTGTGACTTGACTTGTGTTTGGACCAAATGACTTGGGACTTGACTTGACTTGCCCTGTTACGAAATGACTTGTGACTGGACCTAATGATTTGTGACTTGACTTGGACTTGCAAATATGACTTGCTGCCACCTGTGGCACACACACACAAGGGTCGACGCACAAGTCAAATACGTGGTAGTCCTGGGAAATGTTCCTGGAACTGTCGCATGGTTGAAGTACACACAAGTGAGCGAAGCCCTAGCAACAAGATGAACACACTACATATGAACAGACAGTGGCACACATAAATGTAGCCTTCCCTTTGCTCCTAAAATTTTAATGGGGACTGAATATATCTGACGAATGGCAAAAGTAATTATAACATGCTTTGTTTTGGGTGAATTCACCTCAAACTAGTTTGTCACCAGTATTTTGAAAAGTTACAACTGACTACCCACCCTCAAGCCCCAAGGTACAATAGTATACTACTGTTATCTTTCACCTGTATGGTGAAAACTTTGCATTGTAGCCTCCTGCGGGTTGTCTTGTCACTTCTGGTAACAGCAGTTGTGGATGTGTTGTGTGGCCTTACTTACAAAATGCTGATATTTGCATGGGTTGCGCTGCCAAAAAGCACTCTGTTCCACACCCTAAGTAAAAGATTCATTTTACAAAGAACTGAGTTCACCATATCTTGACTTACAAGCTAAGCCACTGCAGAGTTACATGGCCAAGTAATTAGATATAGTCTTCACAAATGCTGCCATAAATGAGTTCAACAGTCTTACAGTGAGTTGAAAGCATTATAACTTTCACAGCAATGTACATGTATTTATTCTCCTCCTGTGATAGCAGGCCATTGAAAACTGCCAAAGCAACCTTTCTGTGGGTGTTGGATTTTTAGTAGTAGCACCCGTCCTGCATTCATTGTCTATGTGACCAACAACATATGACAAGTCATAGTTTATGCCCAAAACTTGCTTGTGGTGGCCTGCTGGCATACAGGACACTGACCAAGCAATGTCACCGTGTTATTCATAAGGTGAACCCCAAGCAGCCATCCTGAATGCAGAATGACAGTTTTGGTCAGCACTTGAGAAGTGCGTGCCTTTAATGAACAATTCCGGTTGAATTGTTTTTCCCCTCAGACATCGACGAATGCTCCAGCAATCCCTGTTTCAATGGGGGCCAGTGCATAGATGCCATCAATTCATACACATGCAATTGTGTTCTTGGATGGACAGGCCTCCGCTGTGGAATCAGTAAGTCTCATAGCATGTACCACCAAATCGTGCCTCAGCTAGCCTTTTGCAAGTTAAATTTGAATAAAATCTGGTACTGGACCAGGACACTGAGTTTCCTGATTGTACATAAACATAACAATTCGAATTCTCAGACAAAAGACACTGTTGCTATACCTTGTGATTCGGGGCAAGCTTTTGCATAGCAACCACCATATTTGGAATGGACTGCTTCCTTAGTTCCCTTCTTATCCATTGAAAACAGTGTGTTGGTGCAAGGCATCTCTTATGTAACTAAGTAAAAGCTTGGCCCAAATCACAAGGTATTGCAACAGTGTCTTTAGTGTGGAGAATTTAACTTATGTTCAGTTGTTCATGTGAATTTAAAGAACCCGGTGTACCAGATTTTATTCAAATTTAACTTCAAAAAGGCTCATTTTACATGGTCCCTGTGCACAAGTGCCCACCTAACAATAAGTGTAAGATAGAGGCTGAGCCAACAATTGAAATACCAGTGCCTCCAAACTCACCTGACACCACGGCTTGCACGAGTACATATGCTGTGTCACATGCACGTAAACAAATATGTTGACGTGAATGCCTGAGCCCAAATGGACACCATTGGGTGGTGGCATATCACCCCTGCTTATGTATTCTCACAGTTCATAAGCAGCAGCACAGAATGTGAGAAAAATCAGGCCACGCAACCAAATGAGAGCCCCAGATTGTTTCAACCCAAACAACAAGTGGTGTACAGCACTTTTGCTGCCTCACATTTTCACAATTTTGACTGCTCGGACACATTTACTGCAGTCCTCATTATTTGGAGCAACCATGGACATCCTGATAAGTGGGCTCTTGGCCCAGTTCGGTGGAACTAAATGCAAAAATCTGCCAAAAGTTACCCTAATTCTGATAATGAATGCAAGAATTCCTGCAAGAGCACCCCTGCATGGAATTATAAAAACACAATACTTAATAAGAGTAGGGAAAACACTGAAGACATGTTTTAGTACAAGAGGTTGGAGCAAACCACCCTAAAATAATGCTGGCCGAGCAGAATTCATAGCACGGGATGGGGCAAGATAACCCAATCCACATATTAACCAGGGTGGGATTCGAATCCAGATCACATATGCTCTCAGCAGCTTTATTTGCAAGAGTTGGGTTTATGTCATTCTAAGGATACAACCAGGTGGGTATGCCTAGGAGCCAGATTTATGCTGTTGTCTCAAATGCATTTTGAATTGATTTGTGTAATAGATATCGACGAGTGTGCCAGTTCTCCCTGTGTCAATGGCGGCACCTGCATTGATGGCGTCAACAGCTACAGCTGTCGCTGTGCTGCAGGATATGATGGAGACCGCTGTCAAAACAGTGAGTAGTCACAAATGGATTTATGTCCAGAATGTGAGACATTGGTTCCACTCCACCAAATATTTTCAAAGGAGCGGGAGACAGAAACTAGGGTTTACCAAAATTGGGAAACTGTTCAAAAATTGTTCATAGCACATTTTACAATTGAGGTACCTATCATCAGAGCAATGTGTCCTATGATCCAGTCTAGTCTGATATGAGCCCCAAACTGGACCAAGAGAGGGCACAATATTCTCAGCAGTCGAAGCTCCTTTGGTGGGAATTGCACTTTGCTAGTTCACAAACAGCTTTGAATGCATACATTACAGTCGTGTCGCTACCAATAAAATGAACACTCCCAACCAACATGGCTCTTTTCAACTGATGCTGAAGGCAGATTGTCTTTTTTTTTTCCAAAATTGCTCTGAATTTGGGATTGGTTCTGTGTTTTATAGCATACCCGGTTCCCGTACCATCCTACATGTAGGTACCTAGGCTAGAGCAATTGTAACCCTGCTAACATTTTTAGAATTGCATCCAACCATGTCCGGTAGTGCGACATTTGTTTTCAATATTTGATTTCATATTGAAGTGACAGAAACCAAAAAATGTGAGCTCAAAGATGTCAATGATGCACTATGATGATGCAGCAAATGCATCTAAAAGATTTGACAAACTTTTTTTTTTTGCAACTGCCTGAATTTTGAAGTCGGGTCACTTTTAGCTGGGGGTCAACATTGCTAGGGACTGCCTAGAATCCACCATTGAACAAAACTAGGTAAAAGGGTTGATATTCCCAGTAAGCGGAGAGGAGATACATGATTTTAAATTTGAAATCATGTTTTTAATGGACCCTTTCCATGAAATATGCAAATTAGATAGGCGCATGTGCACGTCTACCACTGGTTGGCAAGCGCGGCCATCAACATCGAGCTGCTGTAACCATAACCTGGCACATTGAACTTCAATCAAAACTAGATTACAGCCTTTGTCTGACTAAGTTAAGTTTTCAATGTCCTGAGGTTGGAAAGTAACAATTTGTTGTTTTTAAGTTTGGCACTCATGTTCAACCATACTAGTATAATATTTGCTCATATTTATGCACACATGGAGATTTGTATTGTTACGTTACAGATTTAAGCAACCTTGCTAACCAGTGGTAGTTATGTGCATGCGTCTGCCTTATTTGCATATTTCATGGGAAAGGTCCCTTCAGGCGCAGATCCTGCTAATTAATCATACTGACTGGGTAAAACATGAGAGCTTTATCTTCTCCAATTGGTTCAAGTCACATTTTAAAAATGGTAACTTGCCATGGACGTTCTTGACTCTCGGTTTACTGTTCCAAGAGCCTTGGGAAGTGGTACTTTTCAAAGTCTCTAAACCCACTGCAGTGCCAAGCAGCGCTGGACCATGTTGATTCTCAACATGATTTATCATGGGTTGACCTTCAAATCCATCTCCTTCGATCTCCAGATATCGATGAGTGTGCCAGTGGTCCCTGTATCAATGGTGGTACGTGTATTGACGGCATCAATGGCTACAATTGTAACTGCGCACCAGGATATACAGGAGCCCAGTGCCAGATTGGTAAGAAAGATCTTGGGGAAAACATTTTCCACTATATTGAGAAAATACCTGCCATCTCAGATTGCTGTATGCTGCAAAAGCCCGGGAGTGTGTTATACGTGCATTCTGGCAATTTCGGCTTGCAGTGGTTGGTGACATGTACACTCATACATGTACATGTTGTTACCGGGTTGTTGAAACTACACCCATGTTGAAACATAAATGCCATGGCGACCAATTTTCATCCCCACAACTGGGTCCCAATTTTCTTAATAAAAGAAATTGTCCCCTTAACGTAGTGAATGCCTTCTCACTTTCCCTTATGTTTCAGTGGTTCCCGTTGGTTTCCAGACACAAAGAGTGTCTGACTACTCCTCGGAAGCCCTGATCATGAGTTTGGTACCCTGACCCCTCAGTGTACCATTGCTGTTCATTGTTGTTAATTGATTACAGCATGATCTCTAAGTGTAGAAGAGATACACGTTACATTACAAATTGTCACACAAACCTTGCACAGATATACATGTATATAGATCAGTGCCCCTAGACTAGACAGCCTTATACAGAGTGATTCCCCTTAACCTCAGACTCCACCTGTGACATCACATGATTGTACCTTGTGTTCCATTACATTCGATAAATCAGGGTTCTTGCGGCCTGAAAAAGTCACGGAAATCTGTTTTTGTTTTCCAGGCCTGGAAAAGTCATGACATTTTGTAAATGTGACTAAAATCACCAAAAAGTCAATTTATCAAACACTGTGTGATTTCTATTACCAGAAATAAGTGCAGGAAATGTGTGATTTTATTTGCAACTTCGAAAGTCTGAATAGTCCAAGAAATTGCCTTATTGGGTCGTGGATTTTCATAATTTGGTCATGGAAAAGTCATGGAATTTAATTGTCCTTTACATGTACATGCAGGTACAGGAACCCAAATGGAGGACATCACAGTTGGAATTTGAAGAGCTTATAAATATGCACTGACCTTGCTTTTTGGATGGGGCAATGCAGAAATTAGATGGTCAAATCAAATTTATAATTTTCTAGGCTTGCATTTGTTATGAGCTTTGCAATGAGACATCACTCAAAAAAATTGGCCATCAATGAATAATAAACTAATTAACTCCGTATTTTGTGAGTATGAGTACATGTATACTAAACATGACTTGCCCAATTCTAGCTGTAAAAGCCTGTGATGTGTAATAAACATAAGCTGGCCATGTCACTTAATTGAATGCATGTAACTTTTTAACGTTTGGAGCTGTTGTGCACTTAAGCACATTACTAAAAGGCTTTTTTGAACGGCATAAAGACATAATTATGAACAGGCACCTTGTTCACAGAATCACAGAACACCTCATGCCACTCGTTTTTTCACCTTCAGCACTGCAACCACAGAGATTCTATTTTACCATTTTCATTTTGACTTGATATTGACAGATATCGATGAGTGTGCCAGCTCACCGTGCCGCTTCGGCTCCACCTGTAACAACCTCATCAACTTGTACACATGTATTTGCGTGTCTGGCTACACTGGCTACAACTGCGACCAAGGTGAACCTCAATATCAAGGGTGTATGCTGGGGGGAGGGGGTGGTGGGGGTTTCCCTTTTGACCCTCTGTAATCCCCTATTTGTTTCCCCAATAAAACCGCCACAAAACAGAAGTCTGCAATTTGTCTTTTTTCCATTTTTCTGGGATTTGTCCTAAAATGTAAAATGCACCAGGCTGAAGGAATTGATTTCCCTTCAAAATTTTCCTGAGGGAGCCTGCTCCCAGAGCCCCATAGTCTGGGTATTCAGTGATCTGAATCCATTACATTTTGAAGCCCACTTCTAACAATCCTGGGTACGCCCCTGAACACGCTGGCAAGGCACTGTCTTTAAAGGTACAGTCTGTCATTTGTCATTTGTGCCTGAAAAGGCAACAAAAGTGGTCAAAATCTAAAGATGGATGCTTTGCAACTGATCTGATGAAGTTTGAGTTCCATGAATGTACTGAGAGAAAAACAGTTTTTTAGGATTTCAACTTCAAAACAGAAGTTGCAGAGTCATGTTTTGAATAATGCTCAAGTTTAGCACCAGGGACCTGCTCTCATTCAACCGATTGCAGCTACAAGATGCTGTGCACTGAGCTGATGAATTACAGCAACCGCGCATGCTTGTGGATCATGTCAACGCTTGCACACTTTGCCAAATTACAAAAACACAATGATTTAATGCTTGCTGTGCACCTTCTAATTTTACTGTAAGAACAGACCAGAAAGATTTGTGCTGAAAAACTGGACTGATCTGTCCTTTTGCCAGGTAACTACAGGAAGTCAAACATGTTTGATTTGTTAACATCTGATTTTACCAGGTGTACTTTTACTCGACATTAAGATGTGGAATCAACACAGCGCTTCCACCAGATGGGAGTATTTATGACAACCAGTTGCACAAAGTCATTGTAGCGGATTGGCGTGCATAGTGTTATGGTCTGCCGCAATGGTGATAAAGACTTAACCAGTAATGCAGCAGTCTAGTAAACTTATAAATGCAGAAGGGCGTGCTGCGGGCTTAACTGATGAAGCGGTTTAAACCACAGCTGGGGGGGGGATGGGAGAGGAAGCGGGCAGAACTGGGGGGGTAGAGGTTCAACACTAACTAGTCGTTTAAATGCCCATATTTATTCTTTCTTCCCGTTCAGATATCAATGAATGTGCAAGCCAACCCTGTCAGAACGGTGGTTTCTGTGTCAACCAAGTCAATCAGTACACCTGCAACTGTCCAGCTGGCTTTGAAGGAGTCAACTGCCAGATCGGTAAGGAACAAGGGTACAGCTGCCTCTGAATCTACATGGCTATGGCTGGGATTGTGGTATGCTTCTATTTGAAGTGGGTACAGACAGACTGTTTATTGAGAGAATTGCAGCATGAGTGTGTCAATTGTTCGAACCAAAATGGTGGATTTTGCATCAGTGCATATGGACAGTTAGCACACAATTGCTGCGTGCTGCACAGCACAAATAATGGACAGCTCTTTCGGTTCCAAAGTCTGAAGTTGGCGCTACTCTCTATAAACAGCTCTGGGTACAGCCACCAGGCAGCAGGCTCTGTAGACACGAGTGTGGACATGACTTTCCTGATCATAGGCTCTGTCTTTTTTTTTCCTGGGAAGGGACAGTCCCATAAAAAGCATATGTCATGTAGAGGGTGGGCTTTACGGGGAGGAAGGGGTTTGAAAGTGGCTGGTTTCATTAACGCCACAGTGAATATTTGGAATGGTTAATGGTAAGGAGTAACAAGTAGAGTGATTGTCTCAATAACCATAAATGGATATTATATCCTCTCCATACTTGAAAATTCATCCCTCGATTTTCACAGCATTATGGCTGGTGAGCAAAAGCTTAACACGAAATTTTCTTCCCTTAGTTTGTCCTAAAAGCAGCATGCTATAAAGGTAACTTAGTGAAGTTTTAGCTCAGTGAATACTGTATATTCCGAAAAAATGTTCTTGGATCTTGATTTCAAATCAAAAGTTACCAAGACGTGTTTTGAATTGTGCCCGAATTCAGCATCCCGAACACACTCTCACTTAGCCGATTGCTGCCACACAATGTCATGCACCGAGCTGACTCATTATAATAACGGTGGATATTGTGTGCATCATGTCAGTGCTTGCGCACGCCTTGCCAAATTAAAAATGAATTGCTTCTGACAGCTCTCTGAACATGCATCAACAGATGCATTTTTGAAAATAGGCTTCTTTCATTGTTTTCTTCAAAATGAAAGCTTGCCAGAAA